GAGTAAAATGTCTAGAGAGGAAGTTCAGTATAGCATCGTGAAGAAGGTTGACGGAGACAGCCCTGTTTACAAGGTAAGACAATATTTTAAATAGCTATAATAGTGTCTGGTTCCAACAAATTTTCTGTTTCACAAACAACACATTCTGAGAATTTTTCACATCATGAATATTCTAACAAATACCTTAACAATTGAAACAAAAACTAGTCAATAAGAAATTAAGGAATTGGGTCATTTACCTTAGGAATCTTTACGTAACTCCGCAAAGAGCTGGTCAGTGAATATAAAAAGAACGTTTCGTATATTTCGAAGCCTAATAAGACGTGTTTACATGCACAAATTATAAAATGATTTAAGCATATATCATGTCATTTTTCCATCTCATTTGGATATTTTTTATGAGTTACACATAGTCTACCCTCAGAAGTAAATCAACATGACAACTACTCGGATATCAAGACAATGCTGAAATAAAAACGGGTAACAACGACACGGCACGGTTGTACATGTGAGATATAAACTGATTCCATACTTGGCCGTCCTAATCTATTTCTTCCTTGTTTTGGGAAGTGTAGGGGATTTATTTTACTTGTTGATGAAGTGGTATATTTCATCCTTGCATTTAGTTTTTAGTCTGGTATTTGGTAATTTTTTTTGCAAACAGTCGATCACAAATGTGTATGTTTTCTGCTTAAAATTTGTTAATAGAAATAAAGAATGACAAAAGATTTCCAAACACATTTAAAGTACGATATGCATGCTTTATACAATATCCTGACTGCATTTCCATGGATTTAATTATATACAATTAAAGACATTTAATATTACCATACATCTACCATTCTGCCATCAATTACATGTATATACTTTTCCATTTTGAAATTTGCTGTTTTTCTCGTGAATTATATTCTAATTAGTAAAGATATCTAATGATATCAGGAATTCCTGATTTTTGAAACTGTAGTGTGGCGACAAATTTTGTTTTGTTTGTAAGGGTCGGGGATTCACCAAGCATTTATAAGAGTAGTTTTGGTTTTTGAAGGAAAGAAGTACGATGCCATCAGGAGCTGATTATACATGGGATATGAATACGTTAAGAGAACTTTAAGGGTTCCTTTGCGTCAAATCTCTTTCAAAACTAGTTTCATATGTATTATAACCATTAATTCTGCAGGACACGTTGTAATGAGATACGGTTAGAAATTATAGCACCCAGAAAGGTCTTCTGTTGCTGAAATTGAGGCACGATAAGGTTCAATGGATTTGGCAATAGTTTGTGTGATAATCTGATCAGAACGTGTCTTCCCTCGTAAAATCATACCAAAACGTGTCTTCCTAGATAAAATATTATCACAACGTGTCTTCTTAGATAAAATATTATCACAACTTGTCTTCTTAGATAAAATATTATCACAACGTGTCTTCTTAGATGAAATATTGGTAGGAAAGATGACATCATACATGATGGTTACACAGGGGATATACAGACCCTTCCATACAGAGAGGAGGTACTCTTGGCTTCTTGAGTTGTGTGAAGCATACAAGTTTGCTAAGCCAGCTATCCAGTGAGGCCAAGTCCAACAGAGGGAACCTGACAGTAGTGTGATTAGACCTGGCAAATGTATACGGATAAATATCACATCAGCTGATCGAAGGAACTTTACAACACAAGAGCTTTATCCTGGAGTATACACAAGGAACAGTAGGAGCTACTTCAGCAGGTTCTACTTGTGCTTCACTGTTGGGGAGGAAACAGTACCATACGGAACCTGAAGAAAGAAATAGTGACTGAATATACCATATCCGTTATATTCTTTGTCATAAGAACGAGTCTTATCACCAGGCGTCAGGAGGGGAAACCAGAAGGTCCAGAATGGATTCACGAATACACCGACCACCAAACTGAGGTTTCATGGAAGGCCTGACAATTACTACTACCGTACATGTACAAACAAGGTGGGTTCTATCTACATTGGAGGAGGTAGTCTCGTCGGCTGAGATAAATAAAGTTCAAGGTAAAGAAAAGAGGAAGTTCTGTAAATTGTAGACAACCCAGTTAAATGCATAGGAAAGCGGTTAAATGTATCACTGAAAGATCCTAATAGTATTATCAACAAGCTGAAGAAGTCCATGGAGTAGTTGAGACCAGATTAGTAATAACGCTGCGAGAATTCTAAGGATAAGAAGACAATCAAAAATCCGGACTAGTGATAATGCTGCGAAAATTAGAAGACAATCTGGAATCCGGACTAGTGCAGGAAGGAGAAGGTTTTCAGGCCAACCTGTAGAGCATCACGACAGTGCTCTCATGACCCATTTTCATGACAACCTGCTCAGGAGGGCAAAGAACGAGGAGGTACCAATGACAAGGAGAAAAGAACTCTGGTGCAATGGTTAGTCTGCAGAGAGGAAGAAGAGATCATGGGCAGTGGGAGTTGGCGTTCAAGTAGGTTGAACAAAATGGCAGCTGCCGGAGTAGAAACTTGTATGGTCAAACCTAAGGCGCTATGATGATCCAGTTTCTTTCGCGGTCGGTTTACCAGTGAGGAGTATTGGAGGGCCCACAGTACCAGTTTCTATCGCGGTCGGTTTACCAGTGAGGAGTATTGGAGGACACACAGTGCCAGTTTCTTTGCGGTCGGTTTACCAATGAGGAGTATCGCGGTCGGTTTACCAGTGAGAAGTATTGGAGGACACACAGTACCAGCTTTGCCAAGAAAGTGGGACCATGGGACACATCCTGTCGGCATGATAGACACAGAGTAGGTAACAATAAAGGCACGAACAGGTGTTTTGGATATAGCGGAAATTCTCGAGATGGAAAGGTTTAGGACATCGCGGATGAGGCACAAATCATCATTAACATGGCTTGTAAAGGCATGAGAGCAGGAGCAGGAAGCTGTAGGTGGAAACACTGACATTCCTGAAGAGGTACAGTCATGAGGGATGAGAGTAGACCTCAGAGGGAAAACGTTGTTTCCGGACGCTGTGCAGACATTACGTTTGGTTGTGGTGATACGATCGGCTGAATTGAGGAAGATTGTAGTCACCAAGTTGTCTGTGGTGGAGGAGCGGTTCGTCAGGAGGTTAACAAGAGAAAAAGGAAGATTGTAGTCATCAAGTTGTCTGTGCTGGAGGAGCGGTTAGACCAAGTTAACGAGAGAAAAAGAGGCAAGTAGGCAGAACTCGATATCAGTGCGCAAACATGCTGACTGTGATGGGGAGTCAGTTAATCGTCACTACCGACTCACCATCACAAGGACGTTCCTGAATTAGGTTAAAAATCTAGAGACTGAAGAACTCGGCAGACATCTAAGATGGTGTTATCGTTATATTTCATATGAAATACCACAATTTATATAAGTGAACATGGTACCCCTGCAAATGTCGACACAAAATCATTAAAATTCAACACTACACAAACGTTCGGAGTAGTTAATGACATATATATAGAACAACAACCTTGAACTGTCGAAATAATTATCTCCTCTTAAACGCTTGCACTAGATGTTCAGTGGTGCGTATAAAGGTTGACGAGGATACGTGCTAGTGCGAAGTGTGTACGTTACTGAAAGAAGCTAACAATCCAGTAGTAGACAGAGCTACATTGATATATATCAGGGTGACTGTCATCTGAAACTATAATCACAACAAAGTAACACAGAATGCTAAGAAACACCAACAAACCATAGTTTACAAGGTGAAGGGGGAAGATGGCCGTTTCTCTAATGGACGTTGACACCAACGTTTTAAGTTAACAACGTGTGTCTGTATGATTACCTATCTTCACAAAGGTGTACGACGTCCGACCTTTGTATAGTAAATCGACACATTGATGATGATAAATTCTAGATAACATCAAAGTACCTTCTTGTACGTTCTCGTCTTCGCTTGTATCTGTTGAACTTATGATTTTTAACAATAGTATAATGACTTGACATTATTTTTAATACAAATTTTGTATTGAGCTATTTTAAGTGTATAAAGAATGATATAGGACATTATCAAGTGTAATGTCTACAGTAAAAAGTATATAAAGGTGTGTAGTTTGTATTTACTTAATGTTATCTTACTAAGTATCCATGTCCATAAATGGCGAGAAGTACACCCTACTACTGTTCCACAAGATAGTTATGCCATTTGAGAGACATAGTTAATACTAATATATATATTTTAATTTGTGTTTTATTCAGGTTTTTCAAAAAGACGCATTCACATGACAAAGATACAATATATATGCCTAGTGAAACACCTCACAGAAAACACCCATTATATCGCTCTGATGCCACACACACACCCTCACACACACCCTCACACACCCTCACACACACACCCTCACCACCTCACACACCCTCACACACACACATCCTCACACTCACACACCCACCCATCCACACACAAACACACACCCTCTCCAACAACACCCCCCCCCCCACACACACACCCATTACATACAATACATACATACATACGTATGTACATGCACACATCCATTATAATGTAATTTCACTATAGTAATCAAAAGTCACTTGCAAATACTTAATAAAAAAAGAAATGATATCATGTGTTGTGTTTTCTTGAAAGAAGAAAGAGGGAAGAAGATATAATTTCATTTTAATAAAAAAAACTATCATGTATCGAAAACGTTTGCAAGTATACAGATACGTTACAGACCAATGTGACGTATTTTCAAAGTATGGAAAACAGCAGATGATAAAGCGGAAGACATATTTAGCTGTGTTGTCCATGGTTCTTAACTTTCTCAGCCCTGTTTCACCAGTGAAATCTGTTTCCCTCCGTGTTCCTGACAATCCCGATATATAAGTCTGACTGGATCTGGTTCAAAGGCTGAATAATTGTTTTGAAATAGTGCAGATAGTTGAAAGCTATTTTACATACAGGGCACGCCACACCACACCACCTCAGTCATCAACGGATTTTAACACAAAATTCGGGACTTTAAAAGCTTTGTAGCGTTACGGTAGACTACAGTGTACACTATGGCGACTGATGGTAGCGTTGTACCTTTGTCCATTAAGAAGCGATTTTCACACACCGAGGGAAACACCAATGCTGCATTTGAAAATTCTGAAAGTTCTCAACAAGTGGTAAGCTGGTCACCAACGCGTTATTTTATATATAATATATTTGCATGCGACATGCCAAGCTCTGTCTCTGATCGTAATACTTTGTATTATTTATATATCCCTGGGCTATATAGGATGATTTATGAAAGGTGTCACATCTGGATGAAGAAATAACTCCCTACATATATCAGTTTCTATCATATTCTGTGACAATCCACGTTGTCTCTATATTCCTTACGGGTTTCCTCGGATCATTTTCTCTCTCGACGTTTCCCTGTATATATATCGTATATTTATCTGTTTCCTGAATTGACGTCAGCATTAATCTCCTTTAGGGTTGAAGTTTTGTATCATTGATTTTTGTGTCTTTATATAATGTCAACAACACTGGGAGCAACAGGAATGATACCCACAGGTTTAAAACTGTAGTGCGAAGATTCGGCCTTTTATTTAACGCATATATGCGAAAATCAATTTCTAACGTAAAAATACAAAACGAGAAGATTCTTAAAAACCTCCGACAATACCAGAATCGGTATTCTGTATTCCGTGTACAGCCATATCTTTCTGTAGTGTTTGTCCGGATCGGTAGGTGTCAGTATTGTTAAACATTTCTATCTATTTTAAATCTACTTTCCTTTGTATCTACAGTCCACTCAGTGATAGTTCGTTTCATCTTGTATTGCTCTGAGGGTTTTTGTTCACACGTTCATTTACAAACCTGATCAGGACAATACCAATTGTGATGATAAGCGAGCCCTCAATCATCCTTCAGATAAAGTACAACAGAGAAGACAGCAATCCATATAAACCGCCTCCGGACGAATTAGAACTCGAGGTTTACACTGGAGTAAGATACACCATTAAACAATTTTAGACAATCACATTTGAGGGTTAACGTGATATATATTCTAAACTAACTAAATGTTATAACTGGAGGTAATGATGGCAAACCAATAATCCTCTCCAGTACCAAAACCTAGTGACTGGAAACAGCCAATGTAATTTCTTCCGCACATGTTCGTTCACGAGGTTGATTAAGCTTTTTCAGTGTCTGTTACAAGATGTCCCCTCTTCTCGATTCATAATTTTCCAACGACAGTTTTGAATAAAATTATTCGATGCGCAGTGTTGACACGGTGAAACGCTTGCTGTAATATAACATATCTGGCAATTTTTATTTCAAAATACAATTGTGGGTCACATAACGTTACACGATGTGCGATGTGCCCACAACGTTACACGATGTGCGATGTGCCCTCAACGTTACACGATGTGCGGACGTTTTATTTTGTGCGTGGCGCGTTACCATAACTGTATCAACGTCGATAAAATTGCTATTAACAGGACGAATCTAAAATCATCCCCGCCTTCCGGCGGAAGTAAACTAACCATAAGTGACATCTGCTAAAAGTTCTCTTACTATCTTATTATAATTGATTGTTTTGATTGATTAAAGTAATGGATAAAATTGCTTAACGCAACCACCATTATACATTATACACTTCGTAGTTAGTAAAACTACACAAGACCAGGTGATTTTGTCTTTTATCATCGTTGTGCCACGACTGTGGATTAAAGCTTTAGAACACACAGCAAGGTGTTGTTGATATCACAGACAGAAGATATTCTATGTAAAAAAATTCAGTTCTGTTCCAGCGCACTTTGTGACCACATTAAGCATGACATGCATACCAATTACAAATGTAAAAGTCCTGTATTCACACCTTGTGAAGACAATTCCAATACAGTGTATGTTGTTGATGTTTTCTCTGTGGATGTCTATGTAAGTTATATGTGACATTTATCAGTAGAGCCGTGTTATAGATACGAACGCCATACTGAAACCAGTAATACAAGTTACGACCTAAACAATGCGCCTGTTAGGTACGATATAACAACGTCAATCCCCCTCGCTTTCATACAATGTATTTAAAACTAATCAGGTTGTACAATATTCTAATGACCACAAAAAACCACTAATCTGATTGTCCTACTATCAAGTCACTTTTAATCTGGTTACCCCACTCTACAGCCACCACTAATCTGGTTACCCCACTCTACAGCCACCACTGATCTGGTTACCCCACTCTACAGCCAACACTGATCTGGTTACCCCACTCTACAGCCACCACTAATCTGGTTAACCCACTCCATAGCCACCATTAATCTGATTGTCCTACTATCATGTCTCTTCTAATCTGGTTACCCCATTCTACAGCCACCACTAATCTGGTTACCCCACTCTACAGCCACCACTTATCTGGTTACCCCACTCTACAGCCACCACTAATCTGGTTACCCCACTCTACAGCCACCACTAATCTGGTTACCCCACTCTACAGCCACCACTAATCTGGTTACCCCACTCTACAGCCACCACTAATCCGATTGTCCTATTATCATGTCTCTTCTAATCTGGTTACCCCATTCTACAGCCACCACTTATCTGGTTACCCCACTCTACAGCTACCACTCATCTGGTTACCCCACTCTACAGCCACCACTTATCTGGTTACCCCACTCTACAGCCACCACTAATCTGGTTACCCGACTCAACAGCCACCACTAATCTGGTTACCCCACTCTACAGCCACCACTAATCTGATTACCCCAATCTACAGCCACCACTAATCTGGTTACCCCACTCTACAGCCACCACTAATCTGGTTACCCCACTCTACAGCCACCACTAATCTGGTTACCCCGCTCTACAGCCACCACTAATCTGGTTACCCCACTCTATAGCCACCACTAATCTGGTTACCCCACTCTACAGCCACCACTAATCTGGTTACCCGACTCAACAGCCACCACTAATCTGGTTACCCCACTCTACAGCCACCACTAATCTGGTTACCCCACTCTATAGCCACCACTGATCTGGTTACCCCACTCTACAGCCACCACTAATCTGGTTACCCCACTCTACAGCCACCACTGATCTGGTTACCCCACTCTACAGCCACCACTGATCTGGTTACCCCACTCTACAGCCACCACTAATCTGGTTACCCGACTCTACAGCCACCACTTATCTGGTTACCCCACTCTACAGCCACCACTAATCTGGTTACCCCACTCTACAGCCACCACTAATCCGATTGTCCTACTATCATGTCTCTTCTAATCTGGTTACCCCATTCTACAGCCACCACTTATATGGTTACCCCACTCTACAGCCACCACTCATCTGGTTACCCCACTCTACAGCCACCACTAATCTGACTAAGTATGGAGCCAAACCATCACTAATCTGGTTGTCTTATTAGCAAGTCAACATTCAACATAGATTTCTTTATCTGAGATTTGTTTTGACTACAACAGTTCCTCACCAATCTCAACGACTCAGTAGACATCTACAGATAAGAGACACACATCACTTAAAAGTTATGACATGGCCATCCATCTTAAAAGATGTCAGTGTGACCAACAAAATTTACCGAGTCGAGGAAATGATATTAAACAGTTCTATAACTGCGGTTAAGCGTGGAAAACTGATATTATCGTCAGCCAAATATAATTACATTTACATACTACTACATTATAGTGTATATCTAAAGATCGACAAATACAAAACACATTAACACACTAGTTTTTACCAAGCAGTAGGAATGTATGGAAGTATGAGAACATACTTTTTAGCATGGTCTGGTCTGGTCTCATTGGTCTGGTCATAGAGTAATATCATCATTTATCTAGTTGTTTTACTTTTCAGTCAACACTAACCTGGTTGTCTCACTATCAAGCACCAGTAATCTAGTTACTCCACTCTACAGCCACCACTAATCTGATTGTCCTACTATTTCAATCCTAATCTAGTTACCCCACTCTACAGTCAACACTAACCTGGTTGTCTCACTATCAAACACCACTTATCTAGTTACCTCACTCTACAGTCAACACTAACCTAGTTGTCTCACTATCAAGCACCAGTAATCTAGTTACCCCACTCTACAGCCACCACTAATCTGATTGTCCTACTATTTCACTCCTCATCTAGTTACCCCACTCTACAGTCAACACTAACCTGGTTGTCTCACTTTCAAACACCACTAATCTAGTTACCCCACTCTACAGTCAACACTAACCTGGTTGTCTCACTATCAAGCACCAGTAATCTAGTTACCCCACTCTACAGTCACCACTAACCTGGTTGTCTCACGAGCCATGAGTTTCATTACATGTTTTCAAGTGAAACACAGAAAAATATCTTATGGATGAAAGTGCTATATTTCTCTGAAAAATAACATATTTGTTTTTTTTAACAAATTGAACGAACACCTTTGCCGACTAACACCGCTGTAAAGAGAGAACACAAATCATCTCGTAAAACTGACAAATCAGAAAGTCAGAAATCTGAAGAGTTTGTTTACTAGCAGCCTGACCTTCATTTTCATGGTAAACCCAATCCCCAGCCAAACGTCTTGAAAGTAGAATTAACCATTTCAAGAGGATTCGTGTCCTCAACATGGACAGCTTTAGACTGCCGCCATATTGTCAGCCACATAGTAACTTCTCACAGCTTAAACTCTCAGAATGTTTAGCAACAAATTTTGTCTGTAGTGACATAGTTTTACATTGAAATCTATTTTTGTGTTTACATATTTTTAATTATTTAAAAATCGAACAATATTTTGTAGTTATCATGAGTAGTGTCCGCTATAAACATAGTCAGCTTTGTCCTTTCTGCCCTAAATATGCCAGTAAATGGACTGTTTTGTTTGTGAAAATGTACTACATGTACATAGAATAAGTGAATTTCACTCGTTTGTCAAACATTATTTGTATCTTTCACTCGTGTTGCGCACTCGTGAAAAATACTTAAATATTAGACACTCTTGTGAAATATATTTGTTATTTCTGAAGGCACTATAAAATATTCTCTATATATTCACAATGATGATGTATCGTTTTAGTATCCTAATTTGGAAACAAACAATGTCGAGAAACGAAAGTTATCGTTTGAATCCGGTACTAAACCTGGTGATGATGACAATGGCGATGACGTTCTTCCGGCTATCACTATCACAGATGTAAATGACGTCACGACGGATGAAGAGAAAGATGGCGGGCTCATTTACAAAATCAGTGACCCCGTACCAATTCATCTCACCGTTCTCTTTGCGTTACAGGTAATGCAGCGTTTATGATCGTTCAAAGAGTTTGAAGATGAATTGATGGAATTAGACTAAAATAACTTCTAGAATTTGTCTTACTGATAAGTTATCAGTAAGTTTTAATACCCTCTGCCACCTAGAAAAGCTAACACAGGCTGAAGAAATCGGTACAAACAGGCAAGCAATTCGTACGGAGAAATTATTGAATATTTTTGCAATCCAACGACACACCATCCAGACATTTGCTCCTAAAATAAGCCCTCCTCCTCTTAGATTTTGGACATAGTCCATTCATTTAATTCAGTGTGTCGTTTACATATTTTCTGCAGCAAGCCCTGTTGTCCCTGTCCACGTCACTGGCTGTGTCTCTGTTAGTGGCCCAGGTTGTGTGTGCCGAGGACAATGAAGACTTCAAGGCCAGACTTCTTAGTTCAACCTTGTTTATGAACGGCATCACAACCCTCCTAATGGTCACGTTGGGAATAAGGTAAAGTAGAGACATCATAATACTTTCTATTGTCACATTTAGAATAAGGTAAAGTAGAGACATCATAATACTTTCTATTGTCACATTGAGAATAAGGTAAAGAGGAAACATCATAATACTTTCTATTGTCACTTTGGAAATAGTTAAATCAGAGCCTTTCTTGTGGTCACATTGAGATTAAGGTAGAGGAATTGCGTCACAGCCCTTCTTGCGCAATCTCTCTCAGAGTGCATTGTGTTATCCTAATAACACCTCTGTGACGGCTCCCGCCATTTCAAGATTCTTGATAAACGGATTTGTGTGAAATAATAAAGCATTTCATTACTTTTCTGTTTTGTAATTTGTATAATTATTTTAAAAATAAATATTTGTTCATCTGGAAAACGACCTCATTAGATTATATGGTTATAAACGTTATGGATTATATCGCGGAAGAATAACTTTGAACAGTCAGTCATCAAACGTCATGTTTACATTTTGTACTTTCACTTTTCAATACCGACGTGTTCTTAAGATACCTGTTCATATACACTGATATCAGTGATAGCTGACAGTAAATTGGCCACAATGCTGATCGATGACATACAAAACAGTCTACAGCTGTGTCTTACTTTGGTGCAGTTAGGGATGCCGCCATAGTTCTGCACGACCTTCAACTTTGACCCTGACCACAAGGTCAACTATTGGTAGTCCGTGGGCTGTTTACAGAGGTGTATTGTGACTGTTTTAACGAACAACAAATCTGGTAGCGATGACCTCTTACGGTCACAAAGGGACTAAGGTACAAATGAATGGCGTTACGGTCGTTCTCGTGGTCTTCTAGGGAATAAGGTAAAGTAATGGCATTACAGCCCTTCTTATGATCATACTGGGAATAAGGTAAAGTAATGGCTCCACAGCCCTTCTTATGGTCATACTGGGAATAAGGTAAAGTAATGGCATTACAGCCCTTCTTATGATCATACTGGGAATAAGGTAAAGTAATGGCTCCACAGCCCTTCTTATGCAGATTTACCATTCCTGAACAGTCACAATACACCGCTGAAAACGGCACACGGACTACCAATAGTCTGTCGTCGGGACAAATATGCGGCATCCCTGACAACACCAACAAAAGAAACACCTCAAGACTATTCGAGCAGCATTAACAATGATATTGGTGCTTTCGGAGAGGAAATCTGTTGTCAGTACAGTGGCCAAATCACCATGAATGATCGCTGATATCACAGTATATGAACATGTATCTGGAGATCTTATAGTAGTGAAAGTGCAAAATGTAAACATGACGGTTGTTAACTGTTTAGAAAAATCACTCCCAAGATTCTTCGTCTCGCATGACGCAAAACCACGTGTTGTGAGATTGTCTAGAATTTATCAATCCTAGAATAGTAAATCTACCTCGACATGTAAACAACAAAAGTTGGAGAAACAAAACGGTTGTTGTCTAGTAACGGGAAATTCAATAAGGATAATCGATATCGTCATTGCTGTCATACTGATTCGTGGAAATTTATCTACCTCGTGGAAATTTATCTACCTCGTGGAAATCAGTACTTAGTGGAAATCTGTACTTCGTGGAAATCAGTACTTAGTGGAAATCTGTACTTAGTGGAAATCAGTTCTTAGTGGAAATCTGTACTTCGTGGAAATCAGTACTTCGTGGAAATCTGTACTTAGTGGAAATCAGTACTTAGTGGAAATCTGTACTTAGTGGAAATCAGTTCTTAGTGGAAATCAGTACTTAGTGGAAATCTGTACTTAGTGGAAATCAGTACTTAGTAGAAATCTGTACTTAGTGGAAATCAGTACTTAGTGGAAATCTGTACTTCGTGGAAATCAGTTCTTAGTGGAAATCAGTACTTAGTAGAAATCTGTACTTAGTGGAAATCAGTTCTTAGTGGAAATCAGTACTTAGTGGAAATCTGTACTTCGTGGAAATCAGTTCTTAGTGGAAATCAGTACTTAGTAGAAATCTGTACTTAGTGGAAATCAGTTCTTAGTGGAAATCAGTTCTTAGTGGAAATCAGTACTTAGTGGAAATCTGTACTTAGTGGAAATCTGTACTTAGTGGAAATCAGTTCTTAGTGGAAATCTGTACTTAGTGGAAATCTGGAAATCTGTACTTAGTGGAAATCAGTACTTAGTAGAAATCTGTACTTAGTGGAAATCAGTTCTTAGTGGAAATCAGTACTTAGTGGAAATCTGTACTTCGTTGAAATCTGTACTTAGTGGAAATCTGTACTTAGTGGAAATCAGTTCTTAGTGGAAATCTGTACTTAGTGGAAATCAGTTCTTAGTGGAAATCTGTACTTAGTGGAAATCTGTACTTAGTGGAAATCAGTTCTTAGTGGAAATCTGTACTTAGTGGAAATCTGTACTTAGTGGAAATCAGCACTTAGTGGAAATCTGTACTTAGTGGAAATCAGTACTTAGTGGAAATCTGTACTTCGTGGAAATCTGTACTTAGTGGAAATCTGTACTTAGTGGAAATCAGTACTTAGTGGAAATCTGTACTTCGTGGAAATCTGTACTTAGTGGAAATCAGTACTTAGTGGAAATCAGTACTTAGTGGAAATCTGTACTTCGTGGAAATCTGTACTTAGTGGAAATCTGTACTTTCTTTTGTTATATTATCACGTCAGTTTATTTGGTTGCCTTTAAAACTGCTTTTGTGTCTTCTAGACTGTTGCGGCCTTCAGTTTCAATTTGGCGTATTTTGGATATCCAAACCTTTTCCTTTAACGTCTATTTCTGTGTGGCTTTGTGCCGATTCTGGTATTCCATACACATACATTCCTTTTAATTCTATTGCCTTATGCATTGATGTACTTTCAGTAGAGATGTGTTTCGTTAATTGTCACAAATGCATTTACAGATTACCGCTGTACCAGGGAGCAACACCGGATTATGTGGCGCCCTTACTGGCCATGGCAGATATAGACAAAGACAGGTGTAACAACACACAGCCTTTCACAGGTAACAGTACTGGTAGAATTTTACAAAGATATCACATATCTGAAAGCAGTTTACGGGCTACCTGGTGATTCCTATCTTGAACTGACAATTAAACTCTACAAACATCCATTAAGACTGAGGTTCCATTTCAGTTTTCAACAACATCACTAACATGACAGAGACGGTGTTCCCTGAAGGTACCGAGGAAACCATTCTACAGGCAGTCCAAGGGGTATGAATACTGTCATATACAAGTATAAAAGTACCATATGGTACCTTCTATTTTATCACTGCCAGCATTTAGCATTAACAGTGGAAATGAGAACGTGAGGACACAATTATTCCGACAAGTCTCAATAATTCAAAATTCACTCTTAAACAAAAGCAAAGAAAGATGATTTTTTACGGATTTTCCGACCTTCGATAGACAGCTGTTCTTTTCCATGTTAAAATGAAGAAACAACTCACAGTACACTGTATGGTAATTCAAACACTTTATTTAAAAGGACAAAAATGGATTTCTTGAAAGTATGCCTCATACAATATGTATCCAGGTTTTTGCATAATTCGAAATCAGTCTTAATGCAGGGAAAGTAATTGATAATGTATCAGTTTTATGCTTGTTATTAAGATGAAATACACATATAAAATAAATGAATAAATAAATGGAGTTTATAGCTAATTACATTTTTTGTACATTTTAGTTACAAGGCAGCCTATTGGCTGCTGGTGCCATACACTTCCTGATAGGAGCCACGGGATTGGTTGGAGTGCTGCTGAGATTTATCGGACCTATCACCATTGTTCCGACCATCCTCTTGATCGGTATTTACATGGTCAAGTCCATCACAAAGTTCGCGCAGTTCCACTGGGGCATTTCTTTGATGTAAGGCGAAAACAGCAGTCGTATACATGTTATATACATCACAAGGCGAAAACAGGAGTCGTATACATGTTATTTACATCGCAAGGCGAAAACGGCAGTCGTATACATGTTATATACATCGCAAGGCGAAAACGGCAGTCGTATACATGTTATATACATCACAAGGCGAAAACGGCAGTCGTATACATGTTATATACATCACAAGGCGAAAACGGCAGTCGTATACATCACAAGGCGAAAACGGCAGTCGTATACATGTTATATACATCACAAGGCGAAAACGGCAGTCGTATACATGTTATATACATCACAAGGCGAAAACGGCAGTCGTATACATGTTATATACATCACAAGGCGAAAACGGCAGTCGTATACATGTTATATACATACATCGTATACATGTTATTTACATCAAAAGGCGAAAACGGCAGTCGTATACATGTTATATACATCACAAAGTTCACGCAGTTCCACTGGGGCAATTCCTTTATGTAAGGCGCAAACTGCAGTCGTATACATGTTATATACATCACAAAGTTCACGCAGTTCCACTGGGGCATTTCTTTGATGTAAGGCGCAAACAGCAGTCGTATACATGTAGCAGTTGCTGTGAGGTTATAATGAATTATCACTGATGTTAATTAGATCAAATATAGCTAATGTGATTGCAGAGAAACTATGATAGAAAAACATAGAAACAGTTACCAGATGTGGAATTATGACGCTGCACAATAAATTACATTTCAGGACATGTGCCATTGCTATTATACTGTCGTTATACCTCGCAAAGAGAGAGATGCCGATACCTGTGTACACAAGGAAAAAACGATGTCACGTGATCCGTTATCCTCTACATCAAGTGTTCGCTGTAAGTAACGTGTGAAGTAGGTAGGTGTAGGTGTCTCTATGGAGAACCAAAGTGAGAAACCGTGCCAAAATATAGTTTTGGTATGTATGAATGTGTAACTTGATTATTTGAAATTGAAGTTTCAGTTTCAGTTTTCGATCATATTTTGTGATAAGGAAAGACAGTAAGAATCCAACCTAGATGCAATACTGTATATCTTGTCCTATCTTCGCGAGAGTGAAATATCTTGTAACTTTCTTCTCCGGTACCAAGATATCTGTATAACCAAAGCATTCAACTCCATATCAGCATATAACTTACAAAGTAAATTATTAAATAAAATCTAGTAAAACTGTAGGTATAATTCGACGTAATCAAATCAAAGTTGGGAGCCGGTCACATCACAGTATCGTTTGTGGTATGTTCAAAAAAAGGGAGGTAATTCTAACAGATAAATAGTACTTGCATATATTTAGGTATCCAGTGCTTCATTTATGCAAGTTAGCAAATTTTACGCCTTTTTTTGTTTGTTTGTTTGTTTTTTTTTAAGTTTGTGTTTTTACTATTTATGTATATATACAGATACTGATCGCTCTATTGGCTGGGTGGCTTCTTTGTGGTATACTAACGGCGGCCGGGGCGTTCAGTACAGCCAGGGACAGTCAGGACTATTATTCTAGGACAGATGCAAGAATTGACGTCATCAATCGCGCCAGTTGGTTTTACTTTCCCTATCCTGGTAAGGCTAAAAGTACCCGTCGGGTACAGAGTGGTTTCCATTACTCTCTCCTAATACACAATGATAACATGATTTATGTCATTTACCATACAGAAAGTAGGAGAAATACCACGCAGGAAAGGCAGATACGTTTGAGAAACCAGATACTACGGAACGCTTTTATTCTTGTCATCACATTTGGTTTCCCTCCTGTAACACGGAAAATGTACAGTTTCCCCAGTTCATGTTTGCCTTCAGAAAATCATAGCTTTGGACGTTTGTATAATACACAAGACATAGTTTTATACTTTACACAAGCCTTCTCTTTTAGGTCAGTTTGGGAAAATAAGCTTCAGCATATCAGCGTTTGTTGGTTTCCTCGTGGCAACGATTGTTTCCATATTGGATTCAATAGGTGACTACTACGCATGCGCTGCCACTTGCAATGTTCCACCACCTCCTGCTCAAGGTGTTAATCGCGGTATCGCCATTGAAGGATTGTGTAGCGCCCTTTCAGGAGCAGTTGGGTGTGGTCACGCCACAACAACGTATGGCGGTAACATTGGAGCAATAGGTTTAACGAGGGTATGTCAATGTAATAAAGTAAAAATCAACATTAACCTCCAAGATAGGAAAGAACTGCAAAGGTGCGTCAAAACGTATCCATTAAATTCTCTTTGGTTCAAACAACGATTCTATGCCAAACGTGAACAAAACCCTGATAGTTGTGATATATGGAATTACGTTGATTACGGTTTTGAGTTCGCTAAGGATCCTTCTTTAAATGTGCAATAAGTTGAAGCTTTTGGAACAAAGGGCCGGGATTGAGCATGGAATCTGAGAATCTTTCACTCAAGTGATTTCTATGTATATCTGTAACCTTCTATCCCTTAAAGTTGGTACCGTGACCATATCCGTAGTTTTTTCCAAATGAAATTTTGTATTTGGTGTTTTACTTATTCATGTAGCCAATTCTGAAACGTTTGGGAGAACCGATCGTCAGCTTATTTAATCAGTACGTGTCTTCTCAAGCAATTTGATTGGTTAATTTTCTATTTCAGGTTGGAAGCCGATGGGTTTTCATCACTGTTGCTATCATCTATATAGTGTTTGGACTCATCGGGAAAATATCCGCTGTTTTTATCACCATACCGTATCCTGTATTAGGAGGCGTTCTCATCGTTATGTTTGGTGTCTTCAATGGTGTTGTCCTGTCCAATCTTAAGTCTGTAGATCTGTCGTCTACTCGGAACCTCGCGATCATCGGAACCTCTCTTCTGGTTGGCTTGATGATCCCACACTGGGTGGAAGAATACGAAAACGTCATAAACACAGGTGAAACAATTATGGCCTGAATGTTGTCACAAATAAAATGTCTGGGAGATTGTACAAAAGACACACAAATGAATGGCATCGTCTGGTACAAATTTTAGAATAGATTAAGACAAACTGAATACTTTGCTTTAAATTCACATGGCGGCTGTCGTAGGCCTACTTGAATCACACGATGTAAAGTTACCGAAACATCTTTATTTACCTTGTACAGTTAAAGAATTTTTATTGCAAATCTTTTTATTACTTATTTACTAGTTTGACCGCATTTCACCAGTTTTTGGCTTTTTACACAATACAATTATGTCATGGCTATTATCTCACTACCGTCGACAATGATATATGTGAATAGGAATTCTGTCTAGTCGAGTAAGCTATTATTTAGGCTTATATTACAATTGTCCTAAGAAATCATATCATCGTTTTACTTTCACAATATATATGTTGTTCAGGTAATAAAGAAGCAGATGACGTCATCACGATGTTGCTAGGCAACCCAAACCTCGCTGGTGGTGTCCTCGCTTGTTTCCTTGACAACACAATTCCAGGTATTTCCTCACGGCTTCATCAATCATTGATACTTAAACAATAATATCATGATGAATAAAGCAATGATGTCGCCAACATCCATTCGTCCTCATTCCTCATTAGCAGGTTTCAGAAGGATGCGTGTTTACAACAGTATATAGCCTTAGTATTGAACATTGTTTCATATTTTAGGTATTGGCAACGTAACGGAAGCCAGCGTGATTTCCTTGTGGTTTAAGCAAATATTTGGATCAAAATGTGTCTAAACCGTCTGTATATTTGATAGGTTTAAGGTGTCGACATGAAAGCATCGATGACTTTATTCTCTTCTTTTATAACTACATCATTAAACCAAAATTTCTTTTTAATTGGTATTTTTATTGCGAATTAAACCATACGTAATCGAATACCATCTAATGTTACCTTTCTTCATTAGGCTCCAGAGAAGAGCGAGGAATCGCGGCCTGGGCTACACCAGACGATACCAGTTCATCCGCCACTACTGCTTCAGACTTCAGTGAGGGATATGAAGTTTATAATCCTATTTTGTTTGATAAGTACAGCAATTCCAAAATTTTACGGTTCTTGCCTTTCATGCCGAATCCTCTTCAGGAAAATGCCAAGAAACATCGCAGTTTATCGCATGATTTCGGGAGAAGGCGAAGTTTGAGTGGTCCAGCCGTGTTGACATCCACGCGATGAGCCCGACTTACAACAATATATTCTAGAGTTACTTAATGATTGATATTCCTGTCATCTTGACTTTAAGATGTTCACGCAGAAGGGTTGAAAGACTGAAGCAGTTCAGAAGTTTTCATCGTGACTTCATGACAGTCTTGATCCGGCAGTCCTGGTCTCATGGAGGATGAAGTCTCGGCTTCATAAACATGACTTATTGGCCACACCGTCTTGGTTTCAACACTGGATACTAGGGAAGTGAAATTTGGGATTTTTCAATGACTTCAAGGTGGAATGTATTGGTTTCCACAAACTGGCGTGGAAGTTTCGAAGTTAACATGTACATTATGTCTTTATGACAAAACTGTCTTGAGTTCCACACTTTCACGAAGGAATCCGAACCTTTTCTGTCACTTCACTACAGAGCTTTACAGAATTTGTGTATGAGAGATTAGGTATGGTAAACACACTATGCTCCACATGGCATTTGGCATTTGTGTAGGAAGTTTAGAGATATTTTGTATCAAAGACAATAACAACAGGCGTGTCTTCCATTTAACCTGTATTATACAATAAGATGATCTCTAACAAAGACAATACATGTCTTTCAACTGTTCTTTACAAAAAGTATCACAAAATTCCTTTTACTCTACATATACAACAATATATTCAGCATAATTTATATACTATATAATAAAGTATACAATCGTGCCTATAAGAATGCAGCTTGCTGTATACATATATTCTACAAACCAGTTGATCTTTGCATTATCTGTTCTGCAAAATTTGTCATGTTTTTTGCAAATCCAATTTCTAAAGCAATCATGTTCTAGTAATAGTTGCAGTAAATTTCTTTTATACAATGACCATTAAAAATACTATGGTTATCATGTTGCTATGCTGTATAATGATTATACCTATGTACATATAGCGTAGTTTAAAGGGAGTAACATGCATTAGTTTGCATATTTATGATAAGGATTCGGACCTCCCCCGTTTATATTGGATTTCTAAAACTCACATGAATCCATATAAAGAACGTTTTATTGCTGGCTCGTCTAGATGGTCAACTAAGCCTTTGTCACAACTACTAACCACCCTTCTTAGTGCTGTCAAATCTGGGTTACAGTCTTATTGTGATACGGTTTACTCAAGAAGTGGAATTAATAGTAAATTCGTTCCCTTGTTATACCAGCTTTCTTCATCAACAAACGTGAACGACAGTGCAAGTTTATGATTGTGATCTATACCGAAGCATATTTCGTGTAAAATACGCCCAAATCAAAGAAGAAATATGCGAAGAACGAAATCATAAAAAAATGATCGAGTTTCTGGTCGAAAACATCTTCGTCGAGTTTGGTGGTAAGATCTTCTAACAGACATATTTAAGGAGACTAACTACTGGATGACTTGTTTTTGTTTTCATACGTGCCAGATTTTTAAAGAGCATATTAAAACAGATAAAACAGATAACAAAGACCTTGCAAAGTCGTTTTATATAACTTTCAGGTATATTGATGACGTCTTGTCTTTAACAAAAAAACAACATATTTTGCCGTAGGCTTATTGAATTTAAGTTTGGATTATGATGACGTTATCATGCTGATAGCTTCTTGTTGTTTTTCGCAATAAAAACATCCTACGTGGAGAATCAGTCCAAACGACTTTGGCTATCCGCGATTTTATATATGTCTTGTTTGCAGTCGACGCTATCTATCTGAAAAATGCTCTTATATGAAGATTGTACAAAAGACACACAGGTGAAAACACCTTTCAATACAAATTTAGAGTCTGATACAGCTGAATTTAACTGCACCACATAGCTGTTGGACTCATTAGTGAAGCTAAGGGATTAAACATTGAAACCTAGGAAACCTGGGGAAAATTAAAACTGGTCGAAAGAAATGTTAAATCTTGATTTGGAGGTGCAATAAATTTCATTACACACACACACACACACACACACACACACATACACACACACACACATCTATATCTATATATATATATATATATAATTGAAAATATCATAGGTTCACGTGCATATTCCATATTGAACCGTGCCACTATTCTAATGAATTAAAACGTATGGTTGCGGTTAACCTTTGGGACTAATTAAGTAAATGTATAGTCCACCGTAGGGATCGGGATGCAAAATACTGATTTTCGTGGGAAACGCCGTACTACAAATCTCGTGAATGGAGCTTGACACATTTATATATCCTTGGGGACATATTCATTCTCTCCATACATGTACATGTATGTTACATTAAGACAAACGCAGTAGTGACTTTTTCTTTTCCAGAATATTGTAGTAGGTATTGGGTAAGAGTTGTCATATATGAATACACGCAATGGAACTTGTAGATATCTTAATCGTAAATATGTGATTTTCGTAGTCTACATCACACAGTACATCTCAAGGAAACGACAACACTTACTGTAAGTTTATCCGAGTGTTTGCAACAAGTACTAGGAGTTTCCTTACCTTTGTGAACACGCATCACCGGTCACGAACTTTCCAATCGAGTGACGTTACCTGGTCAGTACCAAAGATAGTATATTTGAATACATGTCTCCCTACTATTTAATTTCATCCTAATTGTAGAATTGACCTACTTGAAAGTGGCTCATTGGCATAAATATAAACACTTGGACATCAATTCTATAGAGATGTAAACATCTGGCATGACACCATATCGCTGCTGGTGCCATCACCGCTGAGCTGTGATGTTTGACTGGATAATAATAAAAATATCGCGACCTTCATCGTGAGGAGATAATCATTGAAATGTCTAGGATATTATCTATAGTTGTAACATGTATGAATGACGATGTAACTTAGAGGGCAAAACACACTAACCAGTTACTGGTACAATTTTGCAGCATATAGACTGATAGGCATTTACTGATAGAGATGTTACACAATAACAAGAGATCCCGGGGATCTTGGCGCCCACTATAGTTTGATCTTTATTTGCTCGTATTGATAATAAATTTGAACATTCCTTTGCAGAAACAGTGATCATAATCTTGAGATAATCTATCTCAGGATAGCATGAGAGAGATCCATTCAGTATTTCTTAAGAAATAGCGATATCAATCTTTACTAGGCGAGATCTAAGATGGCTGCCTTTCGGCCATATTAAGAGAACTTATACATAAAATTAAAAAAAATCTGTTCAGTATTTCTCAAGAAGTGAAGAAAAGAAACTTTCGAAATCAAAATAAAAGACAGTCGCCTGTTGACCATTTTCTTTTCTGATCAGTACCAAACAGGCACAACAAAGAATCAAGAGAAACATACACATGAAATCTGAGAAAATTCTCTGCTGAGTTCGTTAGAAATAGGAAAACAAACTTTCAAAGTGAATATCCAAGATGGCCGCCTGTCAGCCATTTTCTTTTGTTTTGATCGGTCTAAAAATCAAAATGTCACAACTAGGAACAAAGGGGAACCTACATATGAAATCTGAGAAGGATCCATCCCACACTTCTCAAGAATTAGGGATAACAAAAAATGTTTACGGACAGATGAAGGGACAACGCTCCACAGACCATGGATCTGATGATGGTGGGCTAAAACCCGAAATATAGATAAATTCTTAATAGTTCACACAGAAAACAAACAATATCAATGTTGGCAATCTATTTGTTTACTGAGAGTCTACATACAACAGAACTGTCACTATTATCACATGTACAGAGATCTGCACCATTAACACACAAACAGAAGTGTGTGTACAATGTATTAGAGTGTATTATACATCACAGTGTTGACATATTGTAGTACAAAACATGAACAGTGTAAACAAATATGCCATTTATAATGAACAAGTTCATTGTACACAAATTATTGATGGTGCATAGAACATGTACAGTGTTGATATAACATACACTGTAAACAAAAATTATACAATGTACATGAATCATACAATGTATATAGAACACATACAATGTACAAAAACATACAGAACATAGATTGTGTGAAATACAATGTATACAGAACACAATTAGTGTAAACAAAACATACAAAGTATTTAGAACATGAACAGGAAACATAAATTATGCAATGTATAAAAAATATTGTACAGTGGTGTACAATAAGCATTGCACAGAGTCAATAAAGTGTACACAAAACAAATAATGTAAACAGAAAATGTACAGTGTACACAAAACAAATAATGTAAACAGAAAATGTACAGTGTACACAAAACATATACAGTGTACACAAAAATGTACAGTGTATACAAAAAATATACAGTGTACACAAAACATGAACGGTAAACACAAAACATGTTCAGTGCACACAAAACATGTACAGTGTACACAAAACATGAACAGTGTACACAAAACATGTAATGTAAACAGAATATGTAGTGTACATAAAACATACATTGTATACTGAATATGTAGTGTACAAAAAACATGCACAGTGTAAACAAAATATGTAGTGTACACAAAACGTGTACAGTGTACACAAAACATGAACAGTGTACACAAAACTTGACAGTGTACACAAAACATGTACAGTGAACACAAAACATACAATGAAGAGAGGATGTGCAGTGTACATAAAACATGTACAGTGTACACAAAACCTGCAGTGTACACAAAACCTGTACATTGTACACAAAACATACAATGAAGAGAAGATGTACAGTGTACACAAAACATGTACAGTGTACACAAAACATACAATTAAGTAAAGATGTACAGTGTACACATAACAAGTACAGTGTACACAAAACATGAACAGTGTACACAAAACATATACAGTGTACACAAAACATGTACAGTGTACACAAAACCTGCAGTGTACAGAAAACAAGTATAGTGTACACAAAACATACAATGAAGAGAAGATGTACAGTGTACACAAAACATGTACAGTGTAAACAAAACATGTACAGTGTACACATAACAAGTACAGTGTACACAAAACATGAACAGTGTACACAAAACATACAATGAAGTGAACATGTACAGTGTACACATAACAAGTAGAGTGTACACAAAACATG